CGATTTTTTGAAGTACATAAAATTGTTACTATCCAAAACATCTTCAGAGGTTTCCGATAACGGATCTGTGTTGCTTCTCTGGGTAGCAAAATGCAGTCTTAACCGTCGTGCCATTTGTTCTCATTTCCACGCATGTTAGCAAATGAAAACCACAAAGATCCTTCAGCAGAAAGGCTACGGGCAGCTATACAGAACCTAGAGCTAGTACATCACAACAGTAAAAGCCCATAAAAGTTGCAGTCTTTGTGCTAATTTCTACAAGATACTTGTGTTAAAAAAACAAACTGTACCTCTTGAAATAAGTCAGCCATTCGTTGAACTGCAGTTTCTGGACCGTCTGATTGCTGGCAGTCAGAAAGCATTCATTTAGAAAGCACTTACGTTCCAACAACCTCAGCTGCAACACACTGACAAACACTACTGACCTTGTTTCATTATACCTTCTGCAATTTGCATAAATGAATACAATAACAAACTTCCAGTACTTCCAAGTTTAAAACAGCAACTCCTGCTGCAGCTGCACTAGCTGAGTCAATGTGTCCGTACTTTCCTCAGCAGCGTATGACTACTAATATTTTTACCCATAGGTTTAGAATTACAGGAAGTTGGTAGGAATGAAGTCCCATATAATTGAGTATCAAGTCTAGGATTGAATTTCCAAATAGTAACCATGCTAGCAAACTGCTGAGGTCTGATTATGTATAAACCAGTGAAATAAGCCTCCTCCCCCTTAAAAAAAAGTCTTCCTGCACTATTTAAATAAAACCTGAAGGAAATCTGGCATTATCTTGCAATCTAAACACTGTTAAGCAATCACACTTTCTAAAGATTTGCATACAGTAGAAACCTCTCCTGCCAATTAATTAATAATTTTCAGTGAGGTGCAACTGAATTAGAAGCACAAAAGTTATTCTGATTAATAATTTGGCATTTATTTTCAGCCTACCACGTTAAACTTTTATTTTACATTTTAACCTTTCCAAATTACAGCTGTTAAAGGCAGAAAGAAACAAAACTATTCTTCCAAACTGAACTACCTCATCTTGTTTGCTGGAAGCCCACGATAAGGCGACATTCATTAGAGTTCAATTATGGCATGCAAATATATGACCAGCTATGCAAACTTTAGAACACAGAGCTAAGATTACCAAGCACAGTTATAAAAGAAAGTTATTATGTATAGTTATATACAAACTCTCATACATTCATAGCTAATTACTAATCTATTTCTATTTTTTAAATAACATTATCAGCATGTCAAGAAGTTAATATACTGTCAACTCTTACAAAAGTAATGGGATTGAGAATTCCTACAAAATGTTTCGTATCTGAAAAGGTCCTTTGCTGGCACCTAGTGGGACTTCTGAAAAAAAGACAATCTTTAAATCTTGTTAGGTGGGGTTTTTCCTTGTTTGGGTTTTTTTTGTTGTTTTGATTTTTTAAAACAAACATTTGCCTATGAATGTACTTTTGAATACAGAAGCCATATATGATGCAGTACTAAATGCTACCGCACTAACATGAAATTACTTAGTGCTGCTGACAAAGTGCAAACAGAAGAGAACACTAGGCCATTTATACTTTTATGGGTCATACTACTAGGTTTTTTTTCTGCTCCATATTTATTTAACCTTCACTGTATTTTAAGCTAGAAGGCAGTAAAATTAACATTTATACCTCCTTCCCAAAAAAGAGCCAAGAATCAAATTCACAGTACCCTGTTTGCAAGCAACAAATTTGTTTTCTAATTATACTCCAGGGCTTACTTAACCTCTGTTACCTGAATTCCATTATTAGAATGCAGCAATAAATGAATACTAGCTTATTCATAAAAGGCCAACAAATACAATAGTTCATTTATTTCATTATGCTTTAGCAACTGGATTTCTGATGGTGTATGTTGGAGGGGGACTGGAATGGGGAGAGAAGAGGAAAGCAAAATACCATAAAAGAATCTTTTGGTCACAGTTTCAGAAAGTTACATTTAAACCCCAAGTAAATATTTAAAAAAAAAAAACCAAACCCACACACACAAAAACACAAACCGAAAAACCCAAAACCAAAAAACCTCACCTTAAGATATGTGAGTGAAGGGTAAAAAGCATTTCTTATAGCTCATTTTCTGCCCAACAACAAATTTACTAGCAGCACAGTTTATGTTAATGTGATACACAGCAAATCGCAACCACTTCATTAGAGATACGGCTTTTACGAGAGAAAAAAGCTCCACTTTCTCCCTCAAAAGACGATTCGAAATGTTTTTCCAATTTTACTAAAGAAACCTCTAAGAAAACGATAAGCAGACATAATTTGGTAACTCAGGCTTCAGATTTAAGTGAAATTTCTCAACACATCACTCTTCCTCGGCCATAACTGTATAGTCAGCCACCTACAGCCTCCTCAGTCAACACAAAACGGCTTTTAAAGTGAAAAAAAAAAAAAGCTTTTCAAATGCAAAATTCTATCTTGCTGAATTAGAGTTGACAAAAATAAACTAAAAATAATAATTTAACAGTACCAATAGCTCCATTCAAATCTAAACATCACGACTTCTTCAGTGTCAGTAAGACTTTGATACTTCATTTGAAACATACGTAATTGTGACAAGTTACTGTTAAGACAGGAAGAGACACCAAAAAGTCAGCTATCCACTGGTCCATCTCAGAAGTGATCTCATTGTCCTTCTTGTGAGATTTTCCTAATGTGTTTTTAAAGACTACCATAATTGAGGACTCCACAAACTGCTCAAGCTCTTTATTCTGTTAATGGTTTGCCACAAGTCAGCAGAACATACTGCATTCAGTGTTCCCCTACTAAATCCAAGGGAGGTGATCTTTGAAAAGTTTGAAAGCTATTACAGAGAGATTTTAAAACTCCAGCTGTTGGTGATACAACCAGTGCAGCAGGACTTTGAATTTAAGTGTAACAATGAAGAAACGTTTTGAGCCTAGTTTTCAAGAAACCGACATTTCTGAAAAAAACAAAAAGATGATATTTCAGCTTCAATTTACCCCCAAAAGTTACAAAGAATAAAACTACTTGGGATAAATTTTTATAAAGAGGAAATTATCCATTGGGAAGACCATCTCAGAAATGTAAGAGAATTTCAGTTTTATCAGCTTGCTCACACCTAGAGTTTAAACTATCACCCAATAGGTAGAAGAAAGGCAGGCTGATTAACACTGAAGCCCACTAAAATAATGCAAGATGAAACATCTTCTGATCACAGCTGTGTATCCTACTGAAAGAGTGCAAAGCACCTATAATTTCTGATGTGAAGATGAATTAATAGAAGTGGGGGAGCTTGTCAATGCTAAACCAATCACAGCTAAAACAGCAACTTATTCAAAATGGCTCAAGACAACTGGGATAGAAACAGTGTTTCTGAGAGCAAGCTAGAGAGAAATAGGGAGGCAGACTTTTCCACTCCCCAAATGAGGGGATGGAAAAGATGAAAAATATCAGGGCTATTGAGGAACTACAGTGACTGATATGGTCACAATGCTTTGATCTCTAAGTACATTCATACCTAGGAAACAAAGCACCATTTCCAAGTTGAAGCCAATAAAATGTTTTATTGGTTCCTCTCCCACGAGCAAAGAGGTCAAACTCAGCTATTCTAGATCGGAGAAAGAATGCTAAGGAATCTTCTTGGTGGAAACCACAAAGAAAGCACTGTCCTTCTCCAGAAAAATAAAGAAATAAAAAAATTAGGAATCTGACTTTCTACTCATGCCTCCCGGCTTCCAGGGGGTGGCAGTAATGTTCCAATGACTAACGGACAAAGTACTCTGACCTCATGAAGAATACACGGTAGCCCATAATATTATGTTGAGATAAACACATGAGCATCCTGAAAAATCATATTTAACCTGCCATGTAAGCCACAAATGCTGGCGATTCCCTTTAAAATTGCTTGGGAAAAAAAAAAAAAGACAACACATTTGAAATACTTCGGACTGGTAACACCGCCAGCCAAGAAGTAAATGGTTTGAGGACTCTGTAATGCCTATAACCAAGAAACAAGCCTCTTCTTCTTAAACCTAATTATTCTAGACACTTTGTACTTATGTTTACATGCATTTTCACTCTTCCCAACTTTAGCAGAGCAGCACCTCCATAAAAGATACAATGAATTGCTGAATATATGCAGAACGCATTAGGGAAAAATAACAAGTTTTTCATAGGTGACACACTATTCGAGCACAGAGATCCTTTGGAACAGCTATCAGAATAAAACTGTGTTTGGAGTACAAACTAAAGAGCACTCAACCCCTATGAGTTTCAAACTACTGCAGAAGGTATATATTTCAGTGACAAGGAATGTCTGTGAAGTGGCCCCAGGATGCAAGTGTCACAACTGTACTGCTATCAGCCTTATTTACAATAAAACATACAGACAGAAAGATAGGTAAGTAGACACTTTCACACGTAAAATAAAAGCATGGTCAAAGGAGTTTTGATTTCACCAAGAAAATTAATGCATAAGCTATTGCTATCTTTCTTATGATCTGGCATTCAGAGAGTGACACTTCTCTACAAGATCACAAACCACTGTTCACTCATTAAGGTCTCCAAAGAAAATGCACACATGCTTTCTTCCATGCTACTCCTCACACATTGAAGAACCTTCTTACACCACGTACAGAGACACCTATGTTGTCAATACTACTTTGTGGGAAAAATAAATATTCAGTGCAGAGCATTCAAAAATCACCAAAGAACTGGGCCATATCATTCGAAAAGCACGATAAAAGAACACAGCTCTTATGAGTTAAAGCACATTAGAAGTTAATAATAATAAAACTGCTTCAGAGCATCATGAAGTGTGGTAGTTATCAAGTAAGTAAACAAATTAGGTCTGCCTTCAGCTGTAGGTTTCATTATAGAAGTTAAGGTTGTTTGGTGTGTTGGGGGTTTTTTAATCCATGTTGAATCCAGATGAACTTACACTCATTCACGTCTTTAACATACTGCAATATTAACACAAAAGGACCTACCAAACGGTTTTCATCAAACACTTCAAAAAGGAGTCTGTGTTTCTGAGGATTAACCTAGGAAAAAGAAATACATTAATAGTTAAAATATATGCTAAGTACAAGCATCTGTCTTCAGCAAAATCTCTATGTTTATGCAGGAGGAAAGAAATACGTAAGACCGAAATGAAACAGCAAATCTACACCTTGCTGCCATTTCACTATGCAACACATTTCTATTGGAACCAATGAGCCAAGACGGGTGATATCCCAAAATGTTTTCAAATCCATGTTCATGTTTTTAATCATTCATGGAATAAAGAAGATGAAATCAAGACTGAAAGTTTAACTCTGGCACAGATAAGTGTCAACAAATGTATTTCGAACAAAAACAGCTTGTGAACCTTTCTGAACATTATTTATAGGCATATTTCTGATTTTAAGCTGAAGTAGTGAGAAAACATTTTCCCTAATGTGTTAATCTTAAATCTGACATAGGTAATAAGGCTGTAAAAAAACACTTACTCTAAATAAGAGTTCTTCGTTCCACTTGGGGTTTAAGGACTGTATGTGAGGAAGAAAACAAAAAGGAAAAAAGGAAGACAGCATTTGTTATAGTGACAATTCCATATTGGTGTCTTTTTTGATGTTTTACACCCATTTTATCCCATGTAACAATCCACTTCAGAAAGAAGGTACAAAAGCTTTAACCTTGCTATTGCAGGTAAGAGCCACAGGAGTCTTCACCACAGTGCAGAATTAAGACAATTTAAGCAAGTATTCTCAGATTTCGGCTAATGCCATGGACGCAGAGAAGGGCTCATGATACAGTTCAAATCAGTTAATTTACGGTATGTCTTCAGTAATAATCACTGCCTTCTCCTCAGTCCACTGTCCATATTGCTTACATGCAAACATGTTAATCCCAAACCCACGAACTCTTAGCAAATGCCAAATCTCTCCACAACATAATCTAGACAGACCAGGCACACGTGGGCCAAGCTCAATGTAACCTGCTCAACTAAACACATCTTTCAATTGTGGCTATTTTTAAAAATACTAGAGATACTTCGAACTCTCATCATAGCTAAATACAATTATCAACGTAAAGGGAAAATGTATGAGTGATCTCATAAAACAAGTCACAGTCACTATCCGAGAACAATGATTTGGAAGAGTACTTTCCCCTCTCACAAATACATTTTTAGTTGATCTGACCTAAGTTACCAGTACCAGTAGTAAGACTGACTTTTTCCTGCCGGTATTCTAGAGAAATGACTAGTATTCAGGTGAACTGTGCAATTTGATGTTGAAACACAAGTTGTGTTTGTGTTTCAAATATAAAAGATAAATCATACAGCAAGAGAGATTCTTATTTCATTAAAGATCTCCAAAAAAAATCAGAACAATCCAGTATTTCCATGAATGATGTAGTTTTGAATCAATACTCACCTTGTATTCCTTAAGTGTTTCTCTACCTTCCACTAAAACCATTGAAGAGAAAAATACCAAAATAATGCCATGAACAGAGAAAAAGAGTAGGCCACGGAACATTCCTTTCCCCGTGTCTGTTCACTCAAGTGACATTAATCCCTTATATTTCCTGTAGTATTAACTTTTCCTCTAGAGCCTAATCAAACAGACCCAAACCAACTGAACCCCACCACCACCCCCACAAAGATAAGATGGCCAACCTTTTTAATAGTTTTTGTCTGAACACTGGTAAGGACTCCATTCACCGGGTCATACACTGTCACTTTCACGTACGGGTCACTAGGAAGGGGAAAGAAAAAGATAAGCATGTTGCTATATATCCTTTTTTGGTCAGCATTATTAGCAGTTGAGTTTTGAAATGCTTAAATTAATAGAAGCTATGAAACTAGGAGTTACAATAACTTTATGAACACCATACAATTTGTACTTACAATAATTTTCTAAATAAGTTTGAGAGATAAAACTAATCTAAACATTGTTACTGATTATGACCAGACTAGCTACACCATTTTGTATTCTGTATATCACTACAACTTGATTGTCTCCTCTTTGACACTTACTATTTCATCAGAACAGATTTAATAAATCTTTATCCATTTCAACAAGACATACACAAAAAACCAGTTGTGACTGGAAAAGCTCAAAGTATTAAATGTCCTGGGTTTAACAGTTTAAAACATCTGGAATTTGAGCTACTTCTTTGAACATGCAATATTTTTACTAAATGTTCTACCAGTTTCATAGAATTTGAGTTTAACCCGAATTTTTCTGTTGATGAAGGTGTCCTAATATGGTTGCTTAAAATGGCCTACTGTCTCAGATTTTTCCCCCCCTTCCTGTGGTACAACAAACAACAGATTCTGTGAATATCTACTTTTCATGAACAGAGTCAAGGCATTCAGTTGCTCAAACAGACTAGTAACAAAATGTGACCGAGGCTGTTTTCACATATTTAAGCTGTGATGCGAAAACCTGCCCTATTTTCCTTTAAAGTAAAAAACTGCATGTGAAAAAAAATTGGAGACTCTGGCTTTAGGGAAAAGATGAATATCACAAGACAAATTTTTCTAACGCTAAACTGATGTCACACATAACAATTTTGCTAGCCCTAAAATATTAACATTCCTGTATATATGCCAAGCAGCTGACAGCAGAACTAGTATTAAACCCATCAATACTTTTCTAGACGCTCTGTACATAGGCCAGAAGAAAAAGTAGCTTTAGTACAAGCTGCACACTGCCACTTGCCAATTCTACAAGATCCTACAAAGCATTTCAAGTACCAATCCAAAAGTCTGATCTGTCCTGTGGTAAATGTTAAGCCGCTTCGATTGCTTCTTCCCTTATATATAGAGTATTAACTTTTAAATTTGGACATACCCGGAGCCTGCAGCCACTGGCATGGGTTTACCACATCTACAGAACTGGTGGCTGCAGTTCCTCTGCATATAATTTGAGTTTAAATAGTCTTGTTGCTACCAGTGTTTAGCGTTGTGTTCATTCCAAGTCTTTAAAGCACAGATGAGACAATTCTGAGTACAACTGAACTCTTGCTATTTTAGCTGCAGCCTATCTGAAGTAAAACATATACATGTATCTATCCTGCATGGCAGAACTATTTTACCATGCAGAGAATTAAACCTTTCCACATATTCTTTTGCCAATGCATAAGATCTGTCCAAGTGACTCCTGGGCAAGAAAACAGATATCTTCATGTTTATATAGTCTCTGATCACTTTTTATAAGGTTACCAGTTAAAACAGTTCTGATGTTTTTGGAAAGAGGCACAGCAGGATTTACTAAGATCTAAACAGATGGAAAGGCAATAAAAAAAAGCAGCTGTCCCTTAATACGTTAACAACATATATTCTTACCTGGCTCCTAAGATATCCTTCTTGGCCAGGCCAATTCCAGCTATAACCTTCACCCTGACAATTCGCGTGTTCTCCTAAAATACAAAATAATATATTCAAGATGCATTCAGATTTTTCAGATCTAGTTTTAATTTATAAAGCTAAAAGCAATTATTGGCATAATTTTAAATTTACACTGAAACCTACAGACTAAGTAAAGCAGTTGGTGCTACTTGCAGTAGCAAATTTATTCTACCTTTACGCCTTTTAAAGGCTTATCACCATCATATCCACGTACAACAGTAGACACAGAAACTAAAAAACTGGGTAAGTCAATACAGTAGGGTTTGGTTTTTTAAAAAATTCATTTTATTTTGCTTCTCAGCATTCTAAAGGAGTGGCATTTGGTTTTGAGTCAGGGTGCTGAATGCCCCGGGGCAGGATCGTTCACCTAGCATACACCTGTTCCCGCCAGCCGTCCTTCCCGAGTCCCACATGGTGCAGCAGCGGCAGTCCCCGCCTTCCCCAACCCGCCGCTATCAGACAGACGCAGCACGCACGTCCTGCCCAGCGCACGCCTGAGAGCTTCTCTCAGGGCAAGGCCCGGCGGCTCCTACTGCTCCCAACTGCTCCCAGAAGGTGGGCATCTGGGAGCAGCTTCCATGAGCAGCTCCCGCGTTCCTCAGCAGGCAGTTCTTGGCCAGCTTTTCTACAGAACAGGCAGGGACCTTTGTGAGAACATGCTCTGAACAGCACAACAATTTTTGATGCACTTGGGCACGGTCTGTTAGGACACAAGGGACATGTTGCCATTTACATCTCACGAGCCGTTCAAGCCAGTTGCACTAAACACAAATGACTACAGACCAAGCAAGTTTTCACCTAATGGCATCTCAGCATTCATCAGAGGGCGAGAAACCACTCTGACCACAAATTTATTTCCTGGGAGGAATGAAAAGGGTATCAAGTTTATCAGAAAAGATGAATAAAGCAGTAAAGGAAAAAAGGAAAGAATAAAGAATTCTTGCATCTATTTTAATTTTACAGCACAGAGGCCACACACAAAATATTTCTGAAAAGACCTGTGCTAACAGGTATGAGATTTTTAAAAACCAAAAAACTACTTCAGTTACACATTATTCAAAATACAGCTCCATAGGAATGACATAAGTGATTGCACTTCTGTTAAGTAATATAGCTGTGTAGAGTCCTACATGGCTCATCTGGTAAGATACTGAATTCAAGAGGGGAAAAACAAATACCCACAGCTGTGACCATGTCAGAGGAAGAAGACAAACAAGTACTGTTTCTCTGGAAAGCAAAAAGCTTTGCAGCTGAAGGACTGTTTGTAGGCAATGGCTAGTCAGAAGCATTTGTGAGGAAAGCTGATCCCATCTAGGTGGTTAAGAAGTTAAACAGATACCAAGAGCAATGGGTGAAGCAGCAGATGATGTCCCTGAGGCCTTCCTGAATTCCACATATGCATGAAATTGCTTTCAAAAGGAGATTCATAGGAAGCGCTCAGAAAGTTTACTTTATCATTGCTCTCCTATAACACCACAGGGCTGGACTCCCTAACCAATACCAGTCAGAGGGGTTTGTAAAGCTAACAGAGAACTGCATGCTAATCCTGAGGCAGAGACTGCTGGCTAACAAGGTAAAGCTGAAAACAAACCACTACACAAAATTTTTTTTTTAAAAAAAAAAGCCGGTTTCTCCCACCCTGTACAGTTAGAGGTGGTTGCCAGTGAAATGAGATTAACATCTCAAACAGTCAACTGGCCAAGACAACTCCAGCCAAATCACAAGTCTATCTTCTACCTTCACCTCAAAGAAAATTGTCTCCTACTAGGAAACCTAATAGTTCAGAACAGAAATACCCAACAACCAACCTCACCCAGCACTGACCACTGGTAGGTGTCCTAAGCTTTCAAAATTCTTAGTCATGATCAGGCTTTAAGGTACATAATGTTACGAGTATGTTTTATAACAGCAATAGAGCCAACCAGATTTAATAAAAATAAGTACAAAACTATGTTGGCATGAAATTAAGAAGAGCCATTCGTTACTATTTTTATATACCACAAATATCCTAAAATATCCACCCTTGTCTTACATTCCAAAGCAGCGTTCCGTTTGTCTTGTACCAATGATCCGGCTTCAGCGACATTCAACATCAGCAAGTTTGGGAGAGTACTGAAGCTGAAGAGTACCACATGTGCACTTCTGCTCTCACCGAGCACTTCTGCATGTCACTCAGGACACCACTGCCCTCTCCCAGCAAGAGGGAGGTCCTCAGTCACAGCCTGTGGGACCCAGCTGACAGAATCCAGTTCGAGAAACAATCTCACCGCCTCATAAAAAGACCGAGAGCAGACATTGGTGCACTGCCCTAAAAGACTGCCCTTTTCTGGCATCTGTGTTTAGTTGCTTGGACCACAAGTTTTCTGTTATTCAGGCATGAGAAAAGTAAAGACAATTCGATGCATTTGGGCATCGTCATCTCAGAGTCACGCTTAACAGGGCAGCAGTGTAGTTCATGTGGGGGTGACCCCAGAAATAGGATTCACACTCCTCAGATTTTGAAATTTGCTTAATCGTGCAGTTTATTTACTTGTATTATAACAGAGATCTGAATCTATCTGAATGCTATTTTACAGAAAGCCAAGTTGCTTTGTACGTGACCTCAGGAAAACAGAAGCCACAAACCTGAGGCTGGCATGCTGAAGGTTGATCTAAACATGCCTTGCTGAAAGAGAAAGTATTATTTGTTTGGGGTTGGTGCCACACTAGGACAGCTACAGGATTTTGGTTAGCTCAGCAGAACAAGTAAGCAAGCTGACATTTGGTTATGAACTGCCATGTAGAAATATCCTTCTAGATTAATGAAAACAGTTTAAAAAAATTCTGAATTGTTCACAACAATCTTCCTCACAGATCTCCTTTTTCACTTTTTCCACTAACCACTCACACTCCCAAAGACCCCCACACACCTTTCTGTATATTTTTTAAGCTGATAGAAGATACTGAAAGGTCCACTTCTTCCTTTTCCAAGCTACAAAGACTAGAAACTTCAGGAAAAAAAGCCATGCTAACGTGCAATACTTAATGATTAGGTTAAGTTCCCCATTCTCTGCTCACACTTAATCATTAATTAGGTTCCTCACTCTCTGGCCACACTAGTGTGCAAGGAGATCAGGAGAAATTCAGACAGCTTGATCCAAATGCAGTCAGAAGTGCCTTACACTGGAAGGACCCATTATGCCACAGTCCTGTAGACCCTGATGAGGCAGAGAGGCCTGCTGACAGGCTACCCCTCTGCACTGTGACCATATGACCCCTTCTCCCCACTCCCTGACAACAGGCAGAATTGCTAAGGGACTGCTGCTGCAGCTCACAAAAGCTGACCTCAGAAAGCAATGAGCAGCCAAAGAGCTCCAGGACTGTTAGCTTAAAGCTAATTTCATGCAGCCAAAAATTAGGCAACACAAGCTCTGCACAGAGACAAAGCTTCATATACTTGCATCCGGCATCCACAGGGAATAGCTTCAAAACCAAAATTTCACGGTTTCAAAGGCAACTTTGAACCTTTTCTTTGTCATTCACCTTGCTCAGGAGATCCCCCTTCATAGCCACACATACAAGAAATGGTGGATCAGTAACTGCTTCTGTAGATCCACAGGCAGCTGCAGCCTGAGAGTGTTTTCATGGTCCAAGAAACACAGGCTGCAGCCTGTACCTCTTCTGTATTGACTGCACTCTCAAGCTCACCATGCTACTCTTTTCCACCACCGTGGTGCTTCCAGCTGTTCTGGTGGCACACGAAGGGACAGGCACTGAGTCAGTAACCAGGAACAGCCCAGCTACGTCTAGCAGCATGGCAGCTGGTCTAGGAAAAGGCGTGCTCAGACCAGTTTACCTCCCCTAGAGTCTCTCCCTGGCCATAAATGCCTACGCTCGCTTCCGCAGTCCTGACATTCCCTTGGAGGGGTCAGTCTGACTTTATTCCGTCTGTGCAGCTGAAAAGGCAGAGTATTCACTGCTGCTGCGAACACACTAGGAGTCTGACAGGTTTAATGCCCCAGCACCCAGCCGCTCTGTAACACAGAGACGCACTTCTGGGAGACATGCACATATGAGAGATGCCCCCCCATCAAAGGGGGAGCTCTGGGCATGGAGTTGTACAGGGGTTGTTCGTAGAGATGGAGCAAGGATGTTCAGCTTCTTTTGATATTTGACTGCCAGCCACTTTGGAGGCTGGAGGGGAGGAAAATAAAATAAATTAAAAAAAAACAGAAAAAACCCAAAACACACCAGGGGGAAAAAAAAAAGGAACACAATAATGGCCCACAACACAGCATCATATATAAAACACAAGCAGATCATTTCACCATTAAAATTGTGAACTGTTAAGCTGTTACCTCTGAGAATACAAGTACCCCAAGACGCATCAGGTAAAAACAGTGTGGCAAAATAAGTATTTTTTAAACTACTGAATCCACCAGGGAGTGGCTGCATACAAATGAAGCCCAAATGACCCTGAGTGCGTGTATCAGTCTGCTCCTAACAAATTCGAGGATAAATTATTTTTAGGGGTTATATAATATTTTTAAAGCTGAGGGGTGAGGAGGGGGATAAGGCTACCACGTATTACAGAGGCTGAACTGCCCAAGAATTCTTGGTCTGATTAAGTCAGACAAAACATCCTTTACAAAGCTGAATCAGCAAGTTAGTTGTCTTATTTTGAACTTCCAGGTTTTATCATTATTTTATTGTTAAACATAGTAGTATATTCTAAAGTACATGTTCAACATTAACTGGTCAAAATAGCTGGATATGCTAACACACACCATTTTCACACCCTCTAACAATGAATCTATTTACTAACAGATAGTATGTAACGAGATGATGAAATAGGTTTCTGAGCTGATACATAGACAACACTTAAAGCTTTAAAGGCAATGCCTGCCAGCCTGTGGTACTTTGAACTAACTGTAACACAGAAATCCTTTTTATATATGTCTAGTAAAATAGTTTAAAAATGTGTTCTCTACACAGAAAGCAAGAGTCAAAATTAATAAAGTGGCACTTCCAGAAGTGGCTAGCGTTTCATTTCCGCAAAGTCACCATGAATCTACCTAGATTCAATGAATACACATTAAGGTGAGAAGTTCTTGAACTGTTGAATTTGGGCAAGAAAACAGCATTTGGAAAAGAATTGTCAAGCTTTTATGGAGTTTAAATTTGCTCACAGCTTTACAGCTGTTTATAGTCAATGACTATAAAGGACAAGGATTAACACTGCCCATTCTCACCACCATTCTTCCCGAACAGGAAAAACAATGCTAACAACAGCTGGGAGAGTGACTCCTATTTTAGTGGTGTAAGTCCAAGACGGAGCAGAAGACAGAAGAAAAGGCACATGCAGAAAGCTTGAGAAAGGCAGCAGAAATTAAGAAATGGTGACATGGTGACGACTTCAGTACAAGACACTGAACAAACCAGAGAACTATGATCAAGTGTGATCCTCATCCAAGTCCCTGAAGGTAGTCCCCAGTCTGTGAGTGTGCACATCTGTGTGTATGTATGCAAGTACGTGCGTGCAGAGTGCACTGCCAGTTCCACAGACTGTAAATGATAAAACATTTCCTACACAAACTAACAGCGATAAGATTCACAACAAGATTACAATAAAGAGTTGTCACTTGTCACCTTCCAAGTTTTAGCAGCTCCTATACCTGAGTCAGGGGAGGTGGGGAAGCTCAAAATTTTGTTTTGTGCATTGAAACACTATAACATTACACCAGCAACAGGCATTTACCTTTGCCAGTCATTAGTGTGTGCAACACCCAGTAATTCAACAATGAACGTATCACACTACTAACTGCTCTCCTCCGCTTGAAACAGCAAGACAAAACACATAATCTGCTGTTATCTAATTCAGTGGCTATAAAGGCTCTCTCTGATCTTGATGTAAACACTTCAAGTCCAAACAATTTTACAGAAGTTTTCAGCAATTGTTCAACCAGAGAAACAGATTGCAAATCATTCCTGACACATCCCAAACCTCCAGCAGGTGACTGGCTGCAAACTCTGATAAACAACTACCATACAGAAAAAGCAGTTTGACACGTGTAAGACATAAAAAATTCAGACAAAATAATTGTATAGCAGTAGAAGATAAAGGCTTTTAATCAGGAGAAGCATTCTTCAGAGTATGCATTTGATTAGTATTGAAAAAATCATTTATTAGCTATCCTTTTTTAAACTTCGGTTCAAGTTTTGGTTTTGCCTTTTCAATATACTTCTTAAGAAGAGATTCACACAGGATCTAAGGAAACACAAAAAACAGGATGGCTAATCTAATGTAAAACATGTAACGGTAGTATCTGCTGGACTACTAGACAGCTTTCTTCAAGAAAGCCAAAATAAGTGTCCAAGTAGCCTAATGGAGAGCACACTCTGTAGTAAACAATTGCTCTAGGCAATAACATCCTGTTATTCTTTTGTTCCAGTTAGATAGGTCAAGAATCAACTACCACTAAATCTAGCCAAGAAAAGAGCACCAAAGGATATTGCAATGATAAAACTGTACATCGCTTTTTAAGATTCTGTTAATATCAGGAATTAGATATTAAGGCTTTCTTAAGCTTCATACCATGTCTGCATATAGTGTACAGATAAAAAGAGAACAGAGAATTCAGATTTGGGCATGTGCAGATAAGGCAAGCCAAAATAAGCATACCAATAGTTTGGAAATTCAAAACAAACTGGTAAATAGCCTGGCCCAGTGAAACAGCATTAAAAGGAAGACATGTTCAACAGGCTGAACATGTTGTACATCCCATGTACAGCAATCCCTTCCATCCCATGCACAGAGGTCCAGAAAGTCAGTAGAGGAGAAGAAAGGGCGGGGGGGACACGACACGGACCAAACAAACAAAAAAGATTATTACAGATTGTTCTGCAGTGCACACCTACACAGAGTGCTGACCTCATTAAGGAGCAGCTATAAACAGCAAGAAAAGTTAGGGCACTTGCATGGGTGGGAGCACACTGAAGCCAAGACTAAGTACTAGCCCAAGAGACACACACCATGAATGCAGTCTCTTTTATAGCATGCTTCTCGAATCTGTGAAACATCTTAGTCAAGGTACCCAGCTTCACTCT